CTGGGCTACCTGGGACTGCTGACTCTGCGTAGTGGACCTATACCACTTGCCCACTTGCCTCGGCCTAAACAGGGGCTGACTCCGAAAGGCCAGTTTTAGAAACCTCTACTTGGCCTTTCGGTACTGTAGCAGCTACGACTTTGCCCTTTCGGCTAAGTAGCAGCTACGACCTTGACCCTTCAGGCATCCTACAGCCACAACTTCGGAATTGTCTAGACTCTTACCCTACAAGTCTACAGTTCGATTCCCTTCTAAGTTGTGACCTACGAAAACCTGCCTACCACTGGCGGTCCTACAGGTCGCGGGTTCAAGCCTACGGGTTGACACTGACACTATACACAGGTAAGCCGGGGAACTAGGGATCGAGYCCTGGGATCTGCATTCGCTACTGCGAACTGGTGAATACCGTTTCACTCCCGCCGGCCTAAATTCGAGGTCCGCCGAGAAACTTTCAGTCCAAGGCAGGACCTTTACCCCTCTGTTGTCTCTCGTAAGCTCGGACTATATCGGGAGCGGTTTCTAGAAGTTCGGATCTGGTACACCAGCGGTCGTCTTCCGATTCTTGATAGCTAAAATGAACCTTATACTGTTTCTGTGGACGACCCCTACCTCCCATTCTGAATACGTCTTCAGCCACTATGCCATCGATGTCATACTTTCCATCCATATCGGGTGGAATCATAGATCTACGGGATGGAAACTGATCACTTGTCTGACAAGGTATTAACTTCGATGCGTGGAAAACTAGGTAAGTGTGGAGGTGTGCTGGTAACTCTATGTTGTAGGACGACCCATCTTCGCCGCCCTTGACTTCCAGAACAGGCCACGACCCTCTATATGTGGGCAGTAACTTCTGCGAGATGTTCTCCTCAGGTGCAAATTCTCTAGAACTAACCCAGACTAAGTCGCCTACCTGAAACTGTGAAGGGCGACGGTGTTTGTTCGCTTGCTCTATCATCTTATGCTGGGCTTTCCTGAGGTTATCGACAACAGTAGCTAGTTCTTTCTCGTGCTGTACAGCAAACCCCCTGGTCCCGGGCGGTAATCTATGAATCTGATCCCGGTTGAGCCCCTCAAACGGTCTGCGTGGTCGAAAGGACTTGTGCAGTTCGTTGGGAGTGCGGCATGTGGACAAATGCACGCTGTTATTGTATGCACTGGCTACTTTGGGCAACATCTCATCCCAGTTAATCTGATCCGGCCTAATATACATGCGCAAAACTTGCTGTAGGATCTTGTTCATTTGCTCTGTCTGACCGTTAGTCTCTCGATGACGGCCGGACGACATCAATAACTTAGACCCATATACTCCCATGAGTTCTTGCCAGTTCTGGCTGGTGAAGCGACTATCTCTATCGCTAACTATTGACAGCGGGATTCCATTCTCACTAACCCAACAGTCAAAGAATCTCTGTATGACTAAATCAGTACGTGCCTCTGAAGGCAAAGGAACAAAAACTGCGTATTTACTAAATCGGTCAACTATGACCATAACTTGGCTCTTGTGATGCCTGCTCTTGACTTGAGTGTCCATGAAATCTATTGACACTGAGTCTCCCGGCTGATTCGGAATGGGCAAGGGTCTGAGAAAACCTAGCGGGGCGCGCGTAGAACTCTTATTACRCTRGCAGACTTTGCAACTGCGAACATACCCTACGCAGTCATTCTTCATCCCTGGCCAGGTATACGCGCGCATCAGATTGGCCAAAGTCTTTTGCCAACCGAAATGACCCTCTGTGTCGTGACATTCCCCTAGAATCAGACTACGGATCTCTTCGCTATTGGGGATGCACAACCGGTCAAAGATATTAGTCTTCTCGAAAAGTAACCCTCCAGTAGTGCGGTAGTTCGGTTCGGTCTCTGGGGCCTCCTTGACTCGCGTGAGGAGCTCACTATAGATAGGGTCCTGCACGTAGGCTTCTCTAACCTTCTGTTGCAGGTCCTTCCGTATATCAAGATAGTCTAATATTGCCCCAAAGTAATCTGCCCTCCTACTCAGGGCATCCGCGACTACGTTGTACTTCCCTTTGACAGGCTTGAGCTCGAAGTCGTACTGATCTATCTCCGCGACCCACCTAGTAAGCTTAGGTGTCATCTTGGCCTGCGTCTTTAACCATCGTAACGTTTCATGGTCAGAATAGACTTTGAAGTGTCTCCCAAGCAAGTAGTGTTTCCAATGGTCTAAGGCTTGCCTGAGAGCGTAGAGTTCCCTCTCRTAGGTAGATGTCGCGACCTTCTCTGAAGGCATTCTAGCGGACATGAACTCTACGGGTCTATACCCATTGCCATCGTCTTGCTGTAACACTGCACCTATGTCGTATTGACTCGCATCGGTCGTGACGACAAAAGGCAAGGACGGATCGGCGACTTTAAGGACTAGGTACTCTATCAATGCCTACTTTAATTTCTTCATGGCAGACGTGCAGTCCTTATCCCACTTCCAGATTGTCTCCTTTCTCAGCAATCTTCGAAGGGGCGCAGCGATGGTGGAGAAGTTCCTCACGAACTTCCTATAATAGTTAGCTAGGCCCAGAAACGAGCGCAACTCTGTCAGCGTACGTGGCGTGGGCCAATCTCTAATCACTGTGATTTTGCTATCCTCTGGCTTAACGTTGTCTCCGTCTAAGACATGGCCTAAATACAAAACTTGGGTCTTCACCCAATCGCACTTCTTTGCATTGATCTTGAAGTTAGCTTCTCTCAGCTTTTCCAAGACTTGCCTGAGATGACCCTGATGCTCTTCAAGGGTCCGGCTAAACACTAGGATGTCATCTAGATAAACTACAACAAATCTATCTAACCACGGCCTAAACAAATCGTTCATACAGCGCTGGAACGTAGCTGGCGCATTGGTTAGTCCAAAGGGCATCACTATGAACTCGTAATGCCCGTACCTAGTCCGGAAAGCTGTCTTATACTGATCATCAGGATGTACCTTTATCTGATGATATCCGGACTTCAAATCTATCTTAGAAAAATACTTGGCCCCCTGCACTCGATCTAAAAGATCATCTATCCTAGGTAGTGGCTCAGCATTCTTCACTGTAATCGCATTCAGACCCCTATAGTCTATACACATTCTCAACTCTCCCTCCTTCTTAGGAACAAAGAGGACAGGCGCTCCGAAAGGAGACGAACTGGGCCTAATCCAACCCTTCTCGAGGAGCTCGTCCAATTGCTTGCGAAGCTCCTTTAACTCTCGCGGGGACATCCTATACACTGCACCCTTAGGAGTTCTACTTCCAGGCTCTATCTCAATACGGTGTTGGATGGGCCACGGCACAGTGCCTGTCGGTGGCTCAGTCAAATCTTTAAACTCTTCCAGCAGCTTGGCGATTGCACGGTCCATCGGCTTCTCTTGCGTAGGCTCAGTCACTGGCCTGACATAGGCAACGAAAACCTGTTCCTCTAGATTCTCCTTTTTCACCAATCTGGCGAACGCAGGAGCACTAAGGCAGCAATGTGCCAAAGAATTCTCTACGCTTGACAGATGGAACAGACGGGCAGTCTTAGCCTCGCCTGAAGAACTAGGGAGCCTACACTCGTGCTCCTTCAAATGGAGCGTGGTCCCGGCTGCCTCTCCTCAATCCATTCCCAGGACAATGTTGAATGGGAGACTGTCTTCTACGAGGAGAGTCAGGGAGTGGAGCACCTTCTCCACTTTCCCATCCTTCTCTAGGCGGAAATACGCCTGGACTCCCTCTACATACTCCTCTACGACCATAGTACAATTGTCCGCGAGGATACTTACTATGGGGTCTGTCAATTTTTGGACTTTAAGTCCCAACCTCAATTTCTGCAGCGCTTTCTTACTAATATAGCTGCGGGTGGCCCCTGAGTCTACTAGGGCCCCTACTCTACTTCTAAAAATCTCTGTATCTAACAATATAAGCTGCCCTTTATTTTCCTTCTTCATCTTGGCCCTGCCGGGCATCCTCTCCTTCAATTCTTCGGCCACGCCTGTGAGGGAGGTGTCTAGCGAAACTCTAACACAAGCAGTTTCAGGACAGCTGTCTAGACACCGACCTGCAACCTCTGCAATAGGCACATGTGGTGTGGGAGTTTCCTGCCGGCTAGCGCTATTTTCCCCACATGGCCTAGTGGTAGGGGCAGTTGCTACCYCTACCGGCGGCTGCCTTTTGACTTTTGAGCAGCCGTTCGGGTCTCTCAATGCTTAGGACAGTATTTGATGATATGCCCCGGGTCACCGCAGAAAATGCACTGGCCCTGGTTCAATCGTTGTTGCCATAATGTTTGGTCCAGACCCAAAGATTCCTAAGGCCTACCTTGCGGTAGCCCTGGGTGCCATCCTCCTATCCTATAGGGAGACCTGTTCCTAGGACGGTTTTGCGGGGGACCTTGACCCCTGCCTCCCGCTTGGCGGTTTCCTCCTCTGCCGCCAACCCCCTGATCGCCCTGGAACCGGCTCCCTGAGGCCCGGCCCCCTTGGCCCAGGCCTCTTCCTTGCGGCCTCCCTCCAGCCGCGACAGCAGCGTAAGATCTCCCCTGGCCCACACCGCTGTCCTCCTCCTCTAACCCCCACTCAATCTGATCGTAGGGGATCTCATCCACACTACCCTCGTCTAAAGTTAGGACAATACTATCCTTAGTCTTCACTTGCCTTGAGATAGTGCGGCTCTTCCATTGCTTTCCTTTGTCCAGGTCTCTGTGCCAGAAGGTAGACACGGACGCAGACTTGGCTTCGAAAACCACCACTTCACGACTAAGAGAATCGTACGTAGTGGCAGGGTCTTCGCTCTTTGCGAAGAAATGCCCTCGCAAGGCTTCGGGCATGGCCCGGTATAAGAGATTGACCAATTGGGCCTCTGTGACCTTATGGTCAGGGACGGCCACTAACTCATCCATCGTACCCTTGAGTGCCCTGGCACTCTTCCACTTACGAGCGTGGATGGTCTGGAGCTTATCTGAGGCCTTAACACTGCGAGCGACATCAGCAAAACGCTCGCACAGCAACTTGATAAAATCGGTGAGGGGAGTGAACGCAGAATATGCAACCGGATCATCATTGCAGTTGGCCATACGAACTAGGGACCTTGCAAAAATGGCGGCCTCATCTCTCAGTGCATGGATAAAGATTAAAACTCGCTGATCTGGGGAGACCTGTTGCAAGTGCACATAGGTCTTAACGTTGACCTCCCAATTGTCAAAGTTTTCCTCCCTCTTCCCACTGTAGGAATCGGGGAACTTGACTTTGACGGGCTCCCGGCGAGGAGGGCATGCTTCCTCCTCCTTGGGAGTTGCCGCCTTGACGCCTTCAATGGCGCCAGCGCAGAACCGCTGAGTCTTGTCGAGGCGGTGACCCACCTCGGCTCCAACGGCGCCTACCAGCTCATGAGCAAAGTCCCGAAAGCCCAATCGTATCGAGCGCACAACTATATCTTGACTCCTACTGAAGTCATACTGATCTGCCTGAACCTGTGCCATGCATGCGACGCTTCGAGCTATGACTCGCATCTGGTTCGGGAGATCGGGCTGGGCAGCCAATTGCTATTTTATCTTTTTCACTTCCTCTAATGCTTCTGCCGCCTCTGCTGCCTTGTCRACTCTCCTCTTTTTCTCCCTCATCACCGCTAATTTCCACTCCATCCTCTTCTCGTCTTCGAACGCTTGGCGTCTAAGGGGGTCTTTCTCTGCATCCCAACCCCTCATGGCAACTTCTTGCTGATCCTGCGGGATATACATACTAACCTCTTCCTCTTCTCCCACAGTCAGGTTGGCAACCCACTCAGATATTCTCTTCTCCAGGTCCCCACCACTACTGCTACTGGGCTGCCCACTACTCTTTTGCAGTGGCGGACCTTCCTCTTCTTCATCCACCGTCTTCAGGTTCTCTTCTTCTTCCTTCTTCAACCTCTCATTTTCTCTGGCCATCTCCTCCTCAATCTTTTTCAGCTTGGCCGCTTGCTCCTCCTTCAAGGCCTTCTTCTTGGTCTCTCTCGTCTCCTGTCTTTCCCTCAGAATGGCGGCCATCTTTTCCTCCTCCTTCGAGTATGGCTTGGTGGAAGTACCACCCCGGGTATCTACTCTACATGTCATCGTGTGCCAGAACCCCAGAGGAAAGAGGAGACACCAGAGGGTCCCCCAGAGGGAAAACCCAACGAGTAGACCATACATCGGATAGTCATCCATCGTGGTGTTGGTGCACGACAAGGGTCCCACTCCTCACCACGTAGACCTACCCGGACACTGACCTACTGACTGACTTTCTAAAGACCACAGGGTAAGACCCTGTCAACTATGGTCACTACGAACCCAAGACTACTCTAAGGTTGTCACTACAGAACCAAAAGTTGATTAGGAGGCATTTAAGGAGATCCCCCAAACTCAGCAAGAGTTCTCTAACGTCGCAGACAGGACGACGCGATCAGCTTGGTTCCTCTGGCGATTTCAGCCCACAACTCAGCCCGTCCAGCCTCCTGTGCCACACCGAGCAGCCCGCCGGTCGGTACCGGTCCTTGGAGGGGTTCGTGTCCCTCGGGTAAGTCGAGTCGTCAGACACGGATCATCAGCCTTCTAGGTCCGGTAGGGGAGTGGCTCAACCAGGCCTCAACACTTAAGGACGGCCTTCGTTTCAGCCTACAGCTCAGAGTTCAGACCCTCCACACTGAACTCAGTAGACCTGCTGGACAGTACCGGTCATTGGGCTAGACGAGTTGTTTAACGAGCGCTCGCCGCTCATGCCCAGGTCTCCAAGTGTCAGAGTACAACTTAGGTCCTACTAAGCCCGTGCAGGTTTGGCAGCAAGGCCCTATCCTTCATCCACAGAGTCCTAGCACCTAAGACAGAAGAGACTCAATGCAGAAAGAGTAGACAGGCAACTCAGCAAGTACCGTGGGGTAAGTGCACATCCACAGGGTAAGGCGATAGGCTGAAGGGTCAACGAGATATCACCAACCCTAGCTTGGTCAAAATCTTGGGCAGCCGCTCCGGTCAACGCCTTGGTCAACGCCGAGTCAACGCAGTCAACCCCGGTCAGCGCTTGGTCAACACCCCTGGTCAATGCCTGGTCAATCCTCTGGTCAACCCTCAGTCAACCCTCTGGTCAACGGTCTGGTCAACGCCCGGTCAACTCCTCACCTCGGCTATGGCTGCCGGCACCTTCACCTTCGTCACCCTCGCCGTCTACTTCCCCCTTCCTTCACTTTCTTTCTCTTCACTTTTGCTGTATATATATATATATATATATATATATATATATATATATATATATACTTTTTGTTTATACACACCCCCGGCTATGTCTGTCTTCTTCTTCGTTCTCCTCCTTCCACACTTCTTCTTCTCTCTCCTCAGTCCCTCCTTCTCTATCCTCCCTTTCTCTCCTCTCCGGTACTCTGTGTTACAGCTCTACGGCTATGGCCGCTGTCTTCCTTCTCCACCGGACTCCGCAATCTCGCCTTACAGGTAAGTGACAACCAATCTTGAATCGCTCATCTCTATCTCTCTCTCACTCTCTCTCTTCGTACTGGTCTTCTTGTTGAAGGTGCACAACGTCTTCTTCCACCTCGAGGTCCGCTATGGCGGACTGCCTCCTCCGGCGGCACTTCAGCTATGGTCGATCGGCCCTGCACACCTCACGCGTATGGAACAACGGGTACCTGCTCCGATACCAGTGAAATCAGACTCGGCTTATTCACACTTGTCACACATGCAAACAGCGATACAGCATACTGGCGACATGCGCCCACACAGTACTCAAAGATATCGTAACCAGGTAAG